AGGCCAATTAATAACCCTACAGTGGCCTCTAAGTGTTCAAGTGAAAGGAAGAGTTGCATGTCTCTCACTTTAAATCAAAAGCTGAAGATGATTAAATTTAGTGAGGAAGGCATGTCAAAAGTCAAGGTAGGCCAAAAGCCAGGCCTCTTGCACCAAACAGCCAAGCTGTGAATGCAAAGGAAACGTTCTTGAAAGAAATTAAAAGTGCCACTCCAGTGAACACATGAATGATAAAGTGAAACAGCCTTATTGCTGATAAGGAGAAAGTTTTAGTCTAGATTGAAGATCTAACTAGCCACAACATTCCCTTAAACCAAAGTCTAATTCAGAACAAGGGTAACTCTCTTCAATTTTGTGAAGGCTGAGAGAGACAAGGAAGCTGCAGAAGAAAAGCCTGAAGCTGGCAGAGGTTGGTTCGTGAGGCTGAAGGAAAGAAGCCATCTCCATAAAATAAAAGTTCAAGGTGAAGCAGCAAATGCTGATGTAGAAGCTGCAGCAAGTTATCCAGAAGATCTAGCTGAGATCATTAATGAAGGTGGCTGCACCAAACAACGTATTCAATGTAGACGAGACAGCCTTCTATCAGAACAAGAGGCCATCTAGGACTTTCACAGCTAGAGAGGAGAAGTCAGTGCCTGGCTTCAAAGCATCAAAGGACAAGCTGACTCTCTTGTTAGGGGCTAATGCAGCTGGTGACTTTAAGTTGAAGCCAATGCTTATTTACCATTCTGAAAATCCTAGAGTCCTTAAGAATTATGTTAAATCTACTCTCCTATGCTCAATAAATGGAACCACAAAACCTGGATGACACATCTGTTTACAACATGGCTTACTGAATATTATAAGCCCACTGTTGACACCTACTGCTCAGAGAAAAAAAAAAGATTCAAAATATCACTACTCATTGACAATGCACCTGGTCACCCAAGAGGTCTGGTGGAGGTGTACAATGAGATTAATGCTATTTCCCTGTCTGCTAGCACAGCATCCATTCTGTAGCCCATGGATCAAAGAGTAATTTTTGATTTTGAAGCCTTATTATTTAAGAAATGCATATCATAAGGCTATAGCTGCCATAGATAGTGATTCCTCTGATGGATCTGGGCAATGTCAACTGAAAATCTTCTGAAAAGGATTCACCATCCTAGATGCCATTATGAACTTTTATGATTCATGGGAAGAGGTCAAATTATCAACATTAACAGGAGTTTGGAAGAAGTTGACTCAAACCTTCATGGATGACTTTGAGGGGTTCAAGACTTCAGTGGAGGAAGTAATTGCAGATGTGGTAGAAATAGCAAGAGAACTAGAATTAGAAGTGGAGCCTAAAGATGTAACTGAGTTGCTTCAATCTCATGACAAAACTTTTAATGAATGAGGAGTTGCCTCTCACGGATGAGCAATAAAGTGGTTTCTTGATATGGAATCAACTTCAGTGAAGGTGCTGTGAAGACTGTTGAAATGGCAACAAAGAATTTTAAATATTACATGAACTTAGTTGATAAAGCAGCAGCAGGGTTTGAGAGGATTGACTCCAATTTTGAAAGAAGTTCTACTATGGGTACAATGCTATCAAACATCATTGCATGCTACAGAGAAATCATTCATGAAAGGAAGAGTCAATCAATGTGGCGAACTTCATTATCTTATTTTAAGAAATTGTCACAGCCACCTCAACCTTCAGTAACCACTACCCTGATCAGTTAGCAGATATCAACATCAAGGCAGGACTCTCTACCAGGAAAAAGACTACAACTCACTAAGGCTCAGATGATGATTAGCATTTTAAAATTAAGGTATGTAAGTAACATTACTCTTTTAGACATAATGCTATTGCACACTTAATAGACAACACTACAGTGTAAAGGTAACTTTTATATGCTCTGGGAAACCAAAAAATCATGTGATTTGCTTTATTGCGATGTTCTGGAACCAAAACCCATGGCATCTCCGAGTTGTGCCTGTAGTTTATGTGCAAATAGTGGACAGTATCGTTTCTTTTCTTCCTACCTGAGGCTCTTTGCCTTTTTGGTATTTTGGGGGTTTGGGGTTTTTTTTTTTTCGGCCACACCACATGGCTTGCAGGATTTTAGTTCCCTGACCAGGGATCGAACCTGGGCCCTCAGCAGTGACAGCACAGAATCCTAACCACTGGACCACCAAGGAATTCCCTCTTTCTTGTCTTCTTGTGCTAGCTTCCAGGTTGAGGCCCACCATCTCTTACGACGTCTTGTCTTTTTTCTAACCTAGAAGTTGTCCCTTTAAAAAATCACACCACAGTGAGCTAGTCTACTGCAAAAACCCTTTGGCTGAAACCATGTAAAAATGCTGGGGAAAAAAATAAATTTTGTTTCTGAACTCACAAAAAATATATAATGTAGTGGAAGAAGAGAAGCTGAAAGCCAGAACAGTGCACCGCAGGCTGCAGGAAGAGGCACCTTGTCCTGATGACATGGGGACTCCCAACAAAGACCTTTCCATAAAACTAGAACCCTTTCAGGGCCAAAACATTAGACAACAAAATCAATGAACCCCAATTTGGTTCTTTGAAAATATCAGTAAAAGGGATAAACTAGCTACAATGATCAGACAAAAAGGAGACAGAACACAAATTACAACATCAAGAAGGAAAAAGGGGACATCACTACAGATCCTATAGACATTGAAAGGACAATAAGAGAATATTGTGGACATTATTCTAATAGACTTGACATCCTAGTTGAAGTGAAAAAGAATTCCATGAAATATACACATTACTAAAAGTGACTCACAAAGAAAGAGAAAACCCAAACAGCCCCATCACAATTAAAGAAATTGAATTCATAATTTAAAATCTCACAAAGAAAACTTCAGACCGAGATGGCCTGATTGGTAAGTTCTATCAACATTTAATGAAGAAGTGATGGCATTCTATACAAACTTTCAGAAAATAGAGGAGGAGGAAACGCACACTACTGATCAGAATATAAAAAGGTATGGGACTTCCCTGGTGGCTCAGTGGATAAGACTCCGTGCTCCCAATGCAGGGGGGCCAGGTTCAATCCCTGGTCAGGGAGCTAGATCCCACATGCATGCTGCAACTAAGAGTTCGCATGCCACAACTAAGGAGCCAGCGAGCTGCAACTAAGGAGCCCACGTCCCACAACTAAGGAACTAGCGCAACCAAAGAAAGAAAGACTATCAAAAGGTACAATCACATGAAAAACAGTTTGGCATTTTGAAAACATTAAACATGTACTATCATATGACCCAGCCATTCCTCTCCTAGGTATGAAAACAGAGACCTTTAAGCACTGTTCTTAGCCGACCTATTCATAATAACCAAAGAGCTGGGACCAGCCCAGGGGTCCATCAGTAGGCAAGTGGATGAACCCATTGTGTTGTAAATATGCATGTAAACATGCAAATAATTCTTAGCAATAAACAGATCATATTATTGCTACACATTTGAACCTCAAAAACATGTTGAGCTAACAAATCCAGGAACAAAAGAATATACACCATATGATTCCATTTATATAGGACTCTAGGGAGGAAAAAAGTCCCAGTCAATCCCTCTCCAACTCCGCCCCGGCTAACCATTGACCTGTTCTCTGTCCCTGGGAAGTGGAACAAGGGAATATCTGCGGGGGCTGGAAATGTTCCATATCTTAATTGTGTGGTAGGTACCTCAGTGTACACATTTGTCAAAAACCATCACGCTGTACACTTAAAATAGGTGCATTTTGTTTCATGTAAAGTACGACTGACTCTCTGCATAAAGCCCTGATTTGTAGTATTTTTTAATTTCCATGATCTAGACACTCCCACCACATCACTCAGCCCAGAGCTGGGAAGGGGTGTGCATGGTCAGTCTTGTGCAGCAGTACAAGCCAGCTCTGGCACAATACCACTTGTCCCTCAGTCAAGTTGGTCTTGAAAAGAAAACAAAGAAACCCTGAAATATCATTACGGCAGGCTAAAATAAATAAGACTTTCAATACCAAGTGTTGATGAAGACACAGAGCAGTGGAAATGCCGGTAAAAGCATAGATTGGCGATATCTATTAAAAGTAGACACTTGGGCTTCCCTGGTGGCGCAGTGGTTGAGAATCCGCCCGCCGATGCAGGGGACATGGGTTCGTGCCCTGGTCCGGGAAGATCCCACATGCCGCGGAGCGGCTGGGCCCATGAGCCATGGCCGCTGAGCCTGCGCGTCTGGAGCCTGTGCTCCGCAACGGGAGAGGCCACAACAGTGAGAGGCGTCCACAACAGAAGTGTGCACTACAGGTCACAGCAGCACTGTTCACTAAAGACCAAACACCCATCAGGAGTGAAGAGGTGGACGGGGGTCATGCACTCACACAACGGGACACTTTACTGCACTCGGATACACGCCTCGTGACTTCACTTACAATACGACGCTCACAGGCAAGCGGTGCTAAGTGCAGGGTTGTGGTCACGTTGGGGGACACCGACCTTCAGCCTCTGAACATTTTCTGAGCTCACATTTTGTGGACTTTTGTATGTGTTCCAATCCACAATTAAAACGTTTTTGACAGAAAAATCTGTTTTCATCGTTGAGTGTCAGACCCTTTACACTGTATTTATTATATGAGCCCAGAGCTGGGTGTTTGTCTTTTCATAGACATGCGTAAGAAGGTGCTGTGCCCACTTGACTCCGGGTGGGGTTCCTGCGCATCTTGTCTTGCGCTGTGACTGACACACTTTCCCTTTGCTGGTTGCCCATCGTGGAAGGGCTTTCTGTTCCCTGAGTTTGTAAACCTGCTGGATGAGACTCAAAAGCTTCAGACAGCCCTCCCTCCCGCGCAGGGCAGTTTGGTTCTTTTCTAAAGTCAACGCTTGAACGCTGAGGGACCAGAGCAAGTGAACAAAGCCTCCCGAGATAGAGCTGGCGGCGCCCGGTTGGCCCACGTCTACCTGCAAGGACACCTTGCTCTGGGGCTGAAAGTCAGGAAAGCGGTGACGTGAAGCCGGCAGAACCAGATGACTCCTCTTACCTGCCTTTCCTCCTGCACGGGGTCCACGGTTCCATTTGTCCTGGGAGGGTCATCTGCGTCACTGCCCCCGCTGGCGCTGGCTCGGTAGGGCTGCACCTGGGGCGAGGGCCTCAGCGCCAGCCAGCAGCTGCGCTCCCCGCGGGCACACATTTGCATCTCAATAACCGGGGCTGAAGCTGAAGGAGCCAGCTGTCAGAGCCTCGGGAGAAACGCGCCTTGTTCCTTTAAGGGGTGGGCTCAAGGCTCTTCATCAAGTGGCCTCCATCTCCCCGCTGGTCTTCACACTCACACAATTCTTCTAGACGAAAAAAATATGAAGCACCATTAGCGAGCGAGTTATCAGGGGCCAACTGTGTCCCCATCAATGCCCCTCAGTCCATTGTGGCCGTCGTGCAGCTGCAGGGCTGGCGCCGAGCAAGCCGCCGGCTGGGCTGTCCCTCCATCCCGTCTGACCATCCCCACTGGGCACTGAGGCCATCAAGCCCTTTCACTGTCGTGTCCAGTGGAAGTGGATGGCACGTTCAGAGCTCATGCACTGTCCTGGGGGGACCAGGCCCAGCCAACGCCCCCCAGACGATGGCTCAGCCCCAGTGGATCCCATCCTCCCCTCACCCGCCGGCTGTTCTTGTCGACCCAGTGCCATGAGCCCACCCCTTGCTGACCAATGCCCCTGGCTGCCCACTGACCCAGGGTCTCGGCACACAGGTCTGCCCCAGAGGCCTTCCCTGGCCCATCCCAACGCGTCCCTCACTAGGAGTCTCGGAACAGGTGTCCCTGGGCCTGGTGTTCCATACTCCTCAGTCCCCACACAAGGGCATCACCTCCACCAGTGAGGGCCTGCAGGTCAGCGGTGGTGGGTTGAATACTGTCCCCCAAAGTTCATATCCACCCAGAACTGCAGAACATGACCTTAGAAATAGGGTATTTACAGATGTGATCAGTTAAGAGGAGGTGATGCTGGGTTAGGCTGGGACTAAACCAATGTCCAGCGTCCTCACACCAGGAAGAGACACAGACACAGGGGAGGCCATGTGACCACAGAGGCAGAGACAGTGATGCGGCCACAACCCAGGGATGCCAGAGCCCCCAGAAGCAGGACGAGGTGGGAAGGATCTTCCCCTGGAGCCTCGGACTTCTGGCCTCAGACCAGGAGATGGGACATTCCTTTCTTCCTAAACCCCCCAGGTTATGCCCCTGTGCTGCAAGGACCCCCAGAGACCCACACACTGGAGGAGGAGGCAGCACCTCTGGACTCAGGAGAGCCTTGCATGCCCAGATCTGGCCGTGCAGAGCATGGGGCCCAGGGTGGCCCCCACAGCCACCCTCCTCGATGACCTGGGGGCAGGTGGGCAACCACCTCCCCAGGCAGCAGCCCCACCCAAAAGGGTCCGGGATGCAGGGCAGTGAGATGGACGGTTCTGCTCTGGGGACTGGCTCCACCCCATCAGCTCATGCAGGGCCCCCCACGCATCTGTGCCCTTGACCCCACCTGCCCCTCTGAGCCCTTCGCACCCAGCCAGGAGCCACTGGGACCCCTCGCCCCTGCCCAGGGGGCACATTGCCCTGGATACAGGCAAATTTTGGTATGAGTCCCTAGGGGAGCGGGACACTGGGCATTCACGGGTGACACCTAGGGAGGACAGGGGCCAAATTCCTCCCTAGATGGTGAGGCAGGTGCCCAGGTGGCCATGCCGGGAGGTACCAGCAGGCCCACAGCCCAGGGCGGGGCTCTTTGAGCTCCTCCTGCCCAACGCAGAAGGGAGGCGCTGTGGGTGGCACCCACTTTCCATCACTAGCAGCTCTAGGCAGGAATACACTGGGAACTGACATAACAGGCACCATGGAACCACAGGCCCCTTGCTGGGAGGAAGAACCATAAGGACAGGCCAGGGGGAAACAGACCAAGAGGCTCCCTTCTGCTCTGAAGGGGAAGAGCCCCACCTGGGAGGGGACCCACCCCAACGCTCTGCCCTTCCCTAAGGGTGCCAACCTTGTCTGTCAACCTCCCCTGGGGTGCTGGATGGGCCAACCCCATGAGGAGCCGAGGACACAGGTCACCTGGTCCCTCATCTGTGACCCTCAGGGCCAGCTTGGGGGTTCAGAGGGAATCAGGTGCGGCCACAGAGCCTGAACAGTCTAGGCATCAACATCAACACTCCAGGTTTCCACAGGGACCGGGAGAACCAGACAGAAACAGGGCAGGTGGACCGACTGCAGGTTCTTGCCAAACATCTAAGAGACATTTGGGGTTTGGAATCACAGATCAGGGCTGTGGGCGGCATCCTATTCCATAGACTTTTCTGGGGAGGAGAGACTCTCACCCTAAGAGAGAAAGAGGGGCCAGCAGAGTCGGCAAGGCCTACCTCAGATGCTGGTGGAGCCCCCGCACACACGTGTGCACACAGGCAGGACCACATATGTACACGTGCAGGCACACTGGCACAGGGGTGCTTCTTAAGTACACAGTTGTGTATATGACATTTCATACTAATATCACAGTTACATAAATTGTGTGACTAGCTAGATATTTTGGAAATAGGAGTGACCATCAGACCTGACCCTCCACCCTGTGGGCCACAGCAGAGGTGGCCACGCTGGGCCTGCCTGGACTGACCTCCAAGCAGGTGGAAATAAGCTCCTGGCAAGCGCAGAACACACGGGTTCAGATACCTCTTCCAAAGGAAGGTCCAGCATCCCGGGGTTGGGGGCACCTCGGCTGTCTGGCGCCCACACGTGCGGTCTCGCTTGCCTGTCCCCACCCCCTCCCCGAGGACACCCAGCAGCACGGCTGCTCTGAGGAGCCAAGATGACACCAGGAGGACACCATCTGGCTGCAGGACCCCCGGCCCCCTGCCCAGAGCTGTGGCGGGTCCTGCCGGAGCCCCCAGCCCCGTCTGGGGCTGCACTGACTGACCCACCCAGGGCAGCTGTGGCAGCAATGAGCCAGGGTACGAGCCCCCAGTGCACACAGCCAACCAGCTCCTTCCACGTTTGCTGGTGTCACAGGGTCTTGGCTGGTGGGACACAGTTATCAAGGGGGTTCCCTTCTATCATCCCTGAGTGCTGGGGCAGGAATGGCTGCAAAGCCCAGAGGGGCTTCCAGGTGGAGGCAGAAGCTAGAGGCCCTGACGCGGCTCTGCCCGCTGACCCCACCGAGACTCAGCACCTAATTACTCCTGCTCCTGTCCCAGGGCTGGCAGAGGATGCCCTGGAGGGGCTACCAGCCAGGCCATGCTCTAAGGGTCAGGGGGACAGCTGCCCGGAGAGGAGGGGACGACACCTGAGACCACAGGCACCTCCTCTGCCTCAAAAAGGAAGACGCCAGGATCCCTGGACGCAGAGGCATCTGTCTTCCCCGGGTCAGGTTAGCAGGGAGATGGCAGAGCCAGGAAAACCCGGCACACAGCCGCCTCTTCACAGGATGAGAGGGGCAATGCCCCACCCGAGGCTGGGGGGACAGCTGGCCCGCCACTGTTGGGGCTCAGGCACCACAGCTGCACAGGCAGCCGAACCCCACTCAGACCCAGGAAGCAGAGTGCACACTGCCCAGAACTCCTATCTGTACCGCGCAGCTGGCAAGGGCCAGAGGCAGCTCACGGCGGGAGCGGTGGCGGGGGGGGGGGGGGGGGCTGGCATCGTCCACCCTTGGTCAGGGTGCCCACAGGTCCCTAAACAAGGTGGGGCGCTGAGCCCAGGTCCCTGCAAGCAGCACAGGGTACAGCGGCCCATCCCTTCCCGGACGGGCGCCCAGGGCCAGTGCTGAGCCATCCTTACCAGCCTGCAAGGTGGGAACCCACATGCACCTCACAGCTCAGGGACAGAAGCCGAGGGGCTTTGTGGAAAGACTTGCCCACCCTGATGATCCCGCAGCCCCAGCCTCTGAGCTGAAACCGGCGAGTCTCTCGCAGCCTTCTCAGGACCAGTGGGTCCAAGCTGGGGCCAGGAAAGGAAGGCACCCTTGCACCGACAGGAGCAGGGCACACCCCACACCTGGGGCCACACCAGAGAGCAGCCCACAGGGCCGGGCAGCAGGGGAGGCCGCTGCCAGGGCCCCATCATCCTGCCTTACCGGGATAGGCCCCAAATCCAATGACAGTGTCCTTACAGGAGACAGAAGAGGACAGACACAGACTGAGAAGAAGTCACGTGAAGGTGGAGATGGGAGCCCCCAGAAGCTGGAAGAGGCTGGAAGGATCCTCCCATGGAGCCTCCGTCTTGGTCTGACTTCTGGCCTCCAGACTGTGAGAGGATGAGGGTCTGCTGTTCTCACCACCCAGGTTGTGGTGATTTGATCTGGCAGCCCCAGGACACTAGCACACCCACCATCCCACTCTAGTGTGGATGTGATGGGGGCAGCCCCCTCCCCAGGCTTCTTCCGACTTCTCTGGTCAGCCCTGGGGGCACACCCTTGGCCCCGGCTTCAATGGACACACCCAAGTCAGAAGCAGAAACGCCCCTCCTTTGATAACTTAGATGAAATGGACCAATTCCCCCCAAATCACAAACAACCAAACTCACCCAAAATGTAATAGATACTGAATAGTACTATAAATTGTCAAAGACGTTGAATTTGCAGTTAAAACTATGGAAGAGAAATGTCCAGGCCCAGGTGGTTTTACTGGTGAATTCTACCAAACATTTAAAGAAAAAGTAACACCAATTCTACCCGATCCCTTCCAGAAAGTAGAAAAGGAGGGAACACTTCCGAGGTCAGCATTACCCAAATCAAAGCCAGAAAGGACAAACAAGAAAATCACAGACCAACATCACTCATGAAATAGAAAATGAGCCAGCAACCAAGTGGGCTCAGCTTCAAAATTTGAAAATCAAAAGACCAAATAAGAAACACCATATAATCATATCAACAGATGAAGAAAAAACATTAGACAAAATTCAATATCTATTCATGATAAACAACAACCACCACCTCTCAGCAAATCAGAACAAGAACTTCCTGAACCTGACAAAGGGCATCTACACACCCACAGCCGCCCCTCTCCCCCATGCCCCTCCTCAGTGGAGAAAACCATACAGCGGTCTGGCTGGGAACCGACCCCTCTGTTCTGAGGAGCTGGGCAAGAGCGGGGAGGGGGCAGACAGTCCAGAAAAGGCAGGACGCCACCACTGTCAGATGGGAGAAGCTGGCAGACAAGCTCCATGTCTCAGCCAGAGCATCATACAAAGGCCACCTCCCCCAGGGCAGGGGCCCCGGCCCAGGAGACACCCCTGTGTCCCAGGGTCTAGTGCTGAACCATGGTCAGGCCCAGGGTGGGCCTGCAGACACCCCCGCCCCCTGGG